GCAAAGGGCCCTGCCCTTTGTACTTCCTGTTCCACCCCTCCCCTTCTGGGGATTGGAGTATGCTTGGTCTGGCCCCACCCACTCAGGCTGAGAGGGTGGCTCTTTACTCTCTGGTTCGGAAGGAAGCCACCCTGGCTCCCTATAGTGCAGATATAAAGGGCAGAGCTGCCCCTAACCCTCTCAGCTCCTTCTTGTTGCAACTCCAATGAAGGGGTTAGGAGGATGGGTTGTGGAATGGATATATCCAACATATCTCAAAGAACAACTGTTACGGAACAGGCTTGTAACCATTTTTTCTTCTTCCCACTCTAGCATCATCTCTGGAGTCTTGAGGCACAGCATAGTGGGAGCAAACGTGTGGACCAGGTTGCCGCTCTACAAGTATCTGCAATTGGAACTTGTGCCAGAAAGGGCACTGAGGCAGATTGAGAGCTCGTTGAATGAGTGATGACTCTGTTGGATGGAGCAACATTAGCCAAGTCATAGCTCATGCATATTCCAGATGTGATCCAGGAAGAAAGGCTCTAAGTGGAGACTGATTGACCACTTACTCTGTCTGCAACTGCTACAAACAGCTGTGAGGATTTACGAAAGTGTCTGATTCTGTCCAGGTAAAATGCTGTGACCGGTGTTATCTTGACCGGTGATCTGCTAGGGCACTCTAATTCTCGACTCTGGGAGCCACCGTTACCCAGCTCTGCTGTGAGAACCCCCACTCTTGGGCTGTTCATGCACAGCCTCTAGCATGTAAGCTGCTCCCAGATACGTGAGTGAGCACTTTTGGCCAGCCGCTGCTTGGATTGTACAACCAAATGACACTAGCCAATATCTCCGGTCCCAGACACAACCCTAGGAACCTCCATCTTGCAGTATCCAGTTATGCCTGCTCGACGCTGCAAGCTTATATCAGTTCAGCAATTTAACAAAGAAATTGATATGTACCAGGCTTGTTATCCCAAGGGGAGTCTCTGGCATGCTTCAAACCAAGTGCATTGCTTCAGGTAGAATAAACAAATGAATTTATTAACTACAAAAGATAGGTTTTTTGTGATTATAAGTCAAAGCATAAGAAGTCAGATTTTGTTAAATGAAATAAAAGCAAAACACATTTTAAGCTGATCTTAACACTTTCAGTGCCCTTACAAACTTAGATGCATCTCACTACAGGCTGGCTGGTTGCCGTTCAGCCAGGCTCTCCCCTTTGATCAGCGCTTCAGTCGCTTGGAGGTGGTGTCTGTAGATGGAAGAGAGAGAGTGCATGGCAAACGTCTCTCTTTTTTATCATGTCTTTTCTTTCCTCTTGGCTTTGCCCCCCCTCTTCAGAGTCAAGTGAGCATTACCTCATCGTAGTTCCAAACTGACCACGGGAAGGGAGGTGACTCACTGGAGAGTCCAACAGATGCTTTGTTGCTGCCTAGGCCAGTGTCCTTTGTTCCTGTGAGGCTGGGATGGGTTTGTCCCATACATGCCCTGATGAGGTGTGAACTGCCCCTGTGCTCCTGGAGAGTTTTTCCTGGGCCTCTGCTCATGGAGAGTTTTTGCCTGGGCTTGTTTTAAGCCATGAGGACACATTTTCAGCCTCATAACTATATACATGAAATTACAACCTATAACATTACTATAACAACAATGCTCAGTACATCATGAGCCTTCCAAAGACACCCAACATGACAAACTTTGCATTGGATACCACACAATCATATTATAAGGATGAACATGGGGGTGCAGGGTGTTTTCCCGAGGTACAGAGCGTCACAAATGCCGATGCTCTTCTGACATCAAACATACGCAAATGCTCTTCCTCCCTGGTCGTGTGTGCTTTGGGTAAAATTCAGGTGAATAAATTGGCTGATTGATATGGAAAAAGGAAACTACCTTTGGGATGAACTTTGAATGAGGATGCAGGTAAACCTTGTCCTTAAAAAAAGACTGTACATGGAGACCCTGATATTAATGCCCACAGCTCCCCTACTCTTCAGACCAAGGTAATGGCCACCAAAAATACCACCTTCATTGATAGATGCAACAGCAAGCAGGTAGCCAACGGTTCAAACGGGGGATCCATAAGTCTTGGCAATAGTAAGTTTAGATCCCACAGAGCAATGGGGTCTTGCATTTGAGGGTATAATTTGATTAAGCTCTTTAAAAATCGCATGGACATATCATTGGAAAAAACAGAGCAATTGTCAACTTTAGAATGGAATGCTGAAATAGCAGCCAGATGTATTTTGATGGAACTAACCACCAAATCCTTGTATTTCAGGAATAATAAGTAGTCCAGAAATGTTGAACTGAAGAACTGGTTGGTGATAGCCTTACTGCCAAGACCAGGTGGAAAAATGCCTCAATTTAGCAAGGTAAGTTCTTGTAGAAGACTTTCTACTATTTAGTAGGATCTTTTGAACATCTTTTGAGCAAGCCTGCTCTTGCGTGTCTAGCCATGGAGCATTCATGCAGTTAACTGAAGGGATTGTAGGCTTGGGTGGGGTAGGCAACCGTGATCCCGGGAGATTAGCTCTGAGTCTAGTGGAAATGAAATTGGGGTTTCACTGACAGCACCAGGAAAGTGGAGAACCAGTGCTGATAGGCCCACACTGGGCTACAAGTATGAACTCTAGCCTGGTTCTGTTTTCTCTTTAGCAATACCCCTTTGGATGTGTCATACAGGATGGAGAAATCTCCTGTGATCAGTGTGAGAACTGGTGTAAGAGAGTAGCTGATAAGACCCACCAGAAAGGTGCAACAAAGAAGAAGAGTGAAAACCACCTTACTTACTATATCCTGCCAAGTTGCAAATTTGACATCAGGTCAGCAATACTCTTTGAGGAACCCACTAGAGGAAAAACCTTGCTTACCACAGTAGAGTGGGGCCTCTGACACAACTGAACTCTAAATAGGGAACTTCTCTACAGTTGTCTGCAGCATGTAGTATGGGCCCAACTATTCTTGGAATAGCTAGTGTGACAAAGTTCCTCCTCTGCCTTGGTGGGTCCTGCACTTATTGGCGGATTTGCTTGCCTCAGAGATTCATGGCAGCCCTCAGTTTGGCCACTCTTACTAGCGGCTCAAACCTGCCGTCCACTCAGCTAACCTCATCACTGGCCAGCATGGGGGAAAACAGAGAACAATCCCCGCAGTCTCTGTGTCCCATCTAGTGGGTCGGGGACAGGGCAGATCCCTTTCCAATTTAGACCTTCCCTTCTGGTGTTTCTCACAGACCAGGTCAACTCCTCCTGTGTCCGATCAGGAGTTGGGGAGGATGGGGGGGAGCCCAGGCCCACACCCTACACCGGGTTTCAGCCCAGGGCCCTGTGGATAGCAGCTGTCCACAATGTTCCCTGTATCAGCTGCGTGACAGCTACAACTCCCTGGGCTACTTCCCCATTGCCTTCCTCCCAGTACCTTCTTTATCCTCACTGCAGGAACTTCCTCCTGAAGCCTGATCACACTTGAACTCTTCACTCCTCCAGCAGCACGCCTTCTCACTCCCTGCTCCTGGCACACGCCCTTACTAACTGATGGGAGGTCCTTTTTAAACCAGGTGTCCTGATTAGCCTGCCTGCCATAATTGAATCTAGAAAGTTCTTAATTGGCTCCAGGTGTCTTGATTAGCTTGCCTGTCTTAATTGGTTCTGGCAGGCTCTTGATTGCTCTAGGGCAGCCCCTGCTCTGGTCTCTCAGGGAACAGAAAACTGTTCATCCAGTGGCCAATATATTTGCCTTCTACCAGACTCTGTATCCCACTGATCCACTGGGTCTGTCACACTAGAAACTGCAGTTACCATACAAGGTGGTGATCGGCTTTGAATTCTTACTCGGAGTTACCTTTTCTGCTCAGGTTTCAGAGTAACATCCGTGTTAGTCTGTATTCGCAAAAAGAAAAGGAGTACTTGTGGCACCTTAGAGACTAACCAATTTATTTGAGCATGAGCTTTCGTGAGCTACAGCTCACTTCATCGGATGCATACCGTGGAAACTGCAGCAGACTTTATATATACACAGAGAATATGAAACAATACCTCCTCCCACCCCACTGTCCTGCTGGTAATAGCTTATCTATTAATATAATAGATTATTAATATATAATTATTAATATAATAGATTATTAATAGATAAGCTATTACCAGCAGGACAGTGGGGTGGGAGGAGGTATTGTTTCATATTCTCTGTGTATGTATAAAGTCTGCTGCAGTTTCCACGGTATGCATCCGATGAAGTGAGCTGTAGCTCACGAAAGCTCATGCTCAAATAAATTGGTTAGTCTCTAAGGTGCCACAAGTACTCCTTTTCTTTTCTGCTCACTGATAGATACACTGAGAAGTTAACTCTCTTATTATTGCATGAAAATGTGTAATTATTGCTTCAATTTCTATGGAAAATACAATACCCTGAAATTAGCACAGAAAGAAAATGCAGTATTATGAGAAAGGTGTTACAAGGCATGGTACATTTGTGTAGCATGAATGTAATATTGAGATCTGCAGTTTGAGCCACTGTACTTGAAGTATGATTGGTGTATAGTCCAGTGGACACAAATGAAAGGTTATCCTCTTTGATTTGTGGCAAGGTGTTTCTCTTTTGAATTGCTGATAATTACAATCAATGAACAGGCGCATAGGATTTACCATATCAGATCAAGCCAGTGTCTAGTCAGTATCTTGCCTCTCACAATGGCATCAGAGGAAGGGGGAAAACCCCCTAGTGCACATGGCTAATTATGCGCCAGAGATACTACGGAGGAAAATACTATAGAACTGGACATTGAAAATTTCTTTGTGGCCCCTAGGAAAGGTAGTCTTTTGGTTAACATGGGTGATCTTCCCCCTTAAATGATGAAAGTTACGAAGAAGTTTTAAAATGTTTTTGAACTCCAGCTATATTTTATGCTAAGCTTGATAACCCCAATCCCATGTGCCCCCGAATATCAACAGGAGACTGCAAGTGATAGTGGGGATTTGTGACAGTATCAAGTTTCAGCTGTGATCAAATGGAGCTCCTACCTTCAGAGGGGGACATGTCATCAGCTGGAGACACCAGGTCTGCCTGGATATCAAGGCCATTACTCAGCCGTGTGGTAATCTGATTTGTCAAGATAACCTGCAAACAGGAGGAAAAATTAATTATTATAGCTACTGGAGGGCAGGTAGCAGCCCAGACGAGAACTAGAACATACAAAGACAGAGAGATAACTCCACACTCTGACCTTCATCAAGTTCATTTCTCCTGGAAAATTTGGAGCTACTTGCAATAACTCGTCAAAGGGATATTGTAAAAAGTACAGCAAACTGAGGAGACTTTCGAAGTTAGTCAAAGACAAAATATTACCTACCCTGTATATCCATACTGCCTTTTTTCAAGAGAGACTGTAATGGGATCCTGCCCCAGAGAGCGCCCCCTGTGCATAGAAGTGGTGTTGCAGGGATCTTTCCGCTCTAGCACCCCATATTGCATGTCACTCTGTGATCCAGCCAGGTCACCTTTCAAGTTCAGTCCCCTTTTGGGGTAACAAAAGCCCAACTGAAAATCCAAACAAATGATCCTTCTCCCCATCTTGGGCTATGCTGAAGCTCCCTTCTCTTCACCCTTACTCCTGAGCCCTGCAGAGTTCTTCTTTGCTCCTGCAGCTGAGCATTGCCACCTAAGACTCTCCTCCTGGAGGCTCTTTTCCTCCTAGTGGGTATCCCTCTGCCACCCTATATATTTGCATGTGGCCTTCTGCACTCCCTAGTTCTGACGGAGACCAGGAGCAGAAATGCTGAAGTACAGCACCATGAGAAAAGCTGTTGTCATCATATTTCCACATTGACCAGAGGTAGGCAGAACTCCAGATCTCACAAGGTAACCTGTTTTCACAAGGTTTTCTGCCATGTTTTACTGATTCAAGAGATTTTAGTAATAATAATACAACTTAGCACTTATCTAGTACTATACAAATATTAATTCCTCTTGCTGAGGGGATGAACCATTAGCAGTATAAATTCAAAGCTCAGTTATTTTTTCTAATGAGAGATAGAAACAAACTAGTACAAACGCATAATGCCAACTATACAGTGAGACTGACTGGGTAAGTGTGGATCTATTGCAGTGTAATCATTTGGTGGCAATGTAAGTGATTACCATTTCCCCAGAATTACCAATGATAATTGATCCCCACTCTTGGAGACTGAGCAAAGCTATAGGCATGGGTCTAAGGGGCCAAATCTGCTAATGGTTGCACGTGTAAGTAACCCGACTCCATGCATACTCCCACTGAAGTTACTGGACCAGAGCTTCAGCTCTACCTGACACAGTGAAGGAAGGCACAAAGGTGGCCTAAGTTGCACTCAGGTGCAATGGACCCCAGGAGCCTCTTCTGGTAGCTGGGCATCACCATAGGGCAATGACTCCACCACAACAACATGCTCCCTGTGCTGGGTACTAAAAGGTGGATTGGCAAAGAGCTGGCTCCTTACACTAGGGGAATTCCCAGACAGCCAGTTATGTCAGCATGCTGACTGCTTTGTATCACCAGAATCGCATCCAGCAAAATGGCATAGAGGGAACTGTGGATCTTCTCCAATGGGAATAATCATGAAAGTAATGCCTGTGTGTTTGCAGGACTGGGTGTTAAAGCTGTGACAAAGTGGGGTTTTCCCCTTGTTATATTGTATGTAAGCATATGTGAGTCTTACTGTTTTGCATGAATACTATGTGTGCCTCAGTTTCCTTGTGTATTGCACCAATGCCTAGGTGATGGGGATAAGGGTGTGTGACTTTTGCTGAGACCCTTAGGGACTGGTGAGGCTGCTCCAGCTCCCTGCTTGTAAACTATGGACAGTGCCTTTCGTAACCTGAGAACCAGGAGCGGGATGCAAGCAGTGACACTTTGCCCAGGAAGTGAGACAAAGACCAGAGAAGGAGCAACGGGCATGTCAGAGGCCAGCCAGAAGCGTTGAGTTCAGTCTGCTGAGGGGACTCAAGGATGGGGGGAGTCCAGGGTGTCTGGCCCGGAGTTCCCCCAAGATGGACTTGGCTGAAAGTCACTGATTTCTGTGCTAACAAGTTCTGTTCTACACTGTGTTCCTGTCGATTAAGAAACCTTTCATTTTACTGGCTGAGAGTCCCGGCTGACTGCAGAGTTGAGGTGCAGGGTCCTTTGGCTTCCCCAGGAGCCCCGCCCAGGCGGACTCGCTGGAGGAAGCGCACGGTGTGAAAAGGGATGCTGAATGCTCTGAGGTCAGACCCAGGAAGGCTGAAACTATGTAAGCTTCTTGCCCTGATGACAGTGTGAAGCATGCTACACCAGAGTCCTGACTGGCTTCATACATAGCAGGTCCAGCATGTTTGCCTGGTGCCTCTGTGACAGGCTCATCGTGAAAGTTTATTACAAAAGAGAAACCCCAGAATTCAGGTTTTCAAGTAACAATCTGGTACACACCATTAATGTCACTATCATCACAAGAACCTCAGCACAGAGCATGTACCTCAGATACCAATAGAAAATAAGCTATTCAAGGGGGTGGAAGAGTCAGGCGCTTGGAAACCAGTTTTATGATTATAATAGGACAAACCTCGATTCAAATGATAAGGTAGAGCCCAAGGCACAAGCCTGATAGAAGCTTATAGAAAACTCCAAGTAAACAGAGGCAGATGTAAAAGGAGGGGTAGAATAGAATTCACATCATTATACAGTTTGAAAGAGAAACTTCAATGATTAGTTGTAATACCTAAAATTAAATAAATATTTGCTATATGTATATATGCATTCTGGTATGGTACGATGTTTTTATTGGCACAAGTTTGCACTGACCACATTACTCATAAGTGTCAAAGGCACCCATGAGTGATACAGTCAACCCAACCCTGGGCCAAGATAAACAAAATATGATGGCAGAGTATAAAGTTTATGTCATACATCTGAGAGAAAAGCTACTGTATTTAAGATTTTTTTAAAAAACCCTAGAGGTACCATATTTCATATTCCTCCCCTTCCAGTGGACTCTACAGGCTTCAAACTGAGAGAAAACTAGAAATTGCATAACTGGACTCTGTACCTTTCAGGTTGGTCAGCTCTCCCCATGTCAGGGAACCTTGTGGCACTGGTCTGGATGGAGGATTGTAATCCTCTTCACCCTTCGCTTTATAAACCAGCCATACCTCTGATTCTTATCTTCCATGGGACTAAAGCTCAGTTTATCTCTGAATAGATCATCACGGATCATTCCCTACTTAAACGTCTGTAAAGTGACTGTAAAAATGGCACACTTTTACTCAGCTACTCTGGCCCTGATTCAGGATGGCAACTAAGCATGTGCTCAAGTTCCATTGGCTTCAGTGGTAGTTGAGCAAGTGCTTAAGTAGTGCCCTGAGTAAGGATGCTTTTTGAAACTGGAGCCCCATGTGTATTCAGAAAGCTTATTTCTGTGAAAAAAATAAAGTGACGCTATTCTTTACTCCTCTTGGCCTAACAGAGCTGGAAGCGACATTCAAGCATAAATTAACACAATTGGTAATTAAGTACCAAATGTAGCGCCAAATTCTGCTTCAGTTACACTTGTGCAACCCCATTGCCTGCAAAGTCTACCCCCAGTTATAGCTGCGTATCTCCAATGTCATCAACCGGTAATACATTTCCAGGTCCCCAGCCTCCCCAGTTTGAGCCTGATTTTCAAGATTGTTGAGTACCCTCAGCTCTTCTTGGCTTAAATTGGAATTTTGGGTACTCAGCAAAGGGTGGCAACCAGGCCCAAAGAGTCTCATGCTGGGCAGCAAAAAAAATGAAGACATTTCTGAAAATGTAGGGCTTCAGATATGGACTCATGAGTTTATTAGAGTTTTTTGCATTTCTAAAATAGGATTTTGGTACAGCAGAACATCCCATTTGTAAACAGCAGCAGCACATGAGGCCCCACATCTCCCGGGGTCCCTCAGCATACAGACACATTCAATTCACCAACCAGAATGCCACCCCCACTTTACTCTGGTGTCAGCAGGCCACAAGTATTATATTCCTTCAATGTCTTCATCACCAGCTTTAGAAGTGCACTTCATCTTCACCTCCTGATACATATAAATGGCTCACCAGCAGGTGCTGAGCCTCACAAACAGGTGCGTGAGAGAGTCACCACAGCCTGAGAGGAAGGAGAGATTCAGATAGACAAAGGAAGGGTGGTGAGACATGGCCATGCGATTTCCCGGTAGGGTGTCACACTTACAGATAGGGAGGGACACACATAGTACTTCAGACAGGTCCCACAAAACCTAGTGCTGGCCTGACTTTAAGGTCCAATATCTCACAAATCACCAGGGATAAACATAAGGGCTGTATATACAGAGAAAGCTGGAAAGGTTAGGATATCCATCTTTCATCTCTTATGTCTCTTGCCTGAAAGATGTCATCTCTAACTATGCAGTGCTTCCTAATAACATGCTGGAGCATTGATCCAGAACTGATTTAGTGGGGGGAAGTGCCTTCAATCGAGTCACCATGCAACTTTCTGCAATCTTCCTTGGCGATCTCCCATCCAAGTATTGACCATATTTTACTCTGTTTAGTTCATGAGACTTGCCAGGATCCCAGCCCAAGTGAGTAAAGAAAGAGTCAGTCCCTTCTGTTGTGGGCTCTCCTAACACATAATAGACTTCAGACCATGCAGCCCTGGCTTCAACTTAAGAGGCACAACTCAAATTACTAGTCCATTATCTTCCAACAGAGCTTTCAACGGTGAGAATTCTGTTACGCAACATTTTAACGCATGACCGATCCTATTGTCTGGTATCAATTAACCCAACAAAGCTCTGTCTCATTCTTATTAGAGTAATCATTACAGAGCAAGGGAACAGGAAACACCACCTTCCCTCCTCCAGCCCCAGCTAACCCCAAACATCTGCAATAGGCAGTGGGCTGTGTTATAGTTTTCTGTTCCCTGTTCATGGTAAAATCAATATGAGGGGCTTCCCCAGCCAATGACTGTACATGAATAGAAAACACCCTCTGCAACGAAACTAAAAAGGTCAGTTGTATAGGTCAATGCTGCTAGAAACTTGTCTCACTTTCCTGCTGAGTTCAGTGAACCACTGCCCCTTAACCTTTGAGCATGGCCAATTTTGACCAGTAC